AAATGTATGCGACACTTCTCCACATGTGCAAAAGACGAGTGCAGGAGCTATTGCCAGCACGATTCAAAAGATCCAAAGCACACCATCCTGGACAACACCCACTCTGTCGGCAACCATGTTAGAACGTGGGTAGAGACAACAAAGTCCGGCAAAACGATGCGCACCAAGCTGTACAACAAGTCGTTTGCAACTTCGAAGCTGGAGAAATCCGAGAACCGATTGGCGGCCATCTTGCTGACTACGTGGATTGTCCAAACGAGCATCTCAGCAAAACCTTTCTCCACCCAGACGTACAACAACGAGGTTGCACTCACATAGAAGTGTCCCTGTACTCCTGCCAAGACACCGACATGTCCACCAACAGAGCAGAAAACGTTTTGCAAGATGTGTTGGAGCGGGTTTTGCCAGCAGGTGACGGTCTATTCGTAGTACAACCAGTAGTAGCGCAGTGGTTTCATCCCGCAGAAAAGATAGACCGCTGTTTGGTCCTAGCCGACTGTCCACAGCATACGATCTTCTTTGCGTGGTATGCACATTCGAAAATGGGTCACGTGTCCGAGTACACATTCGTCCAACCAACACAGATTCCTGGGAAAAAAACATCGACTGGGCCATAGGAGACTTCAGTTTTCGAAGGGTTCCAATATTCCGCGTGGACATCCTATCGGTAGAAGGAGATACGGTGGAACAGGCCCACTCTGATGCTATGCCAAAGGCAAAGACACCAAGACGGTGCTAGCTGCCAGCAAGAAGCCAACAGCTCTACATCAATCCGGCATGGATCCAGACATATTTCTCCTGACAACTCCAAACATCGAATGGCAATGGACACAGAAAAAATGACAAAAGCTGGGCAGAGAAAGATCCGACCAACCTTTCCAAGAAATGCCGAACATAGATGCCTATCGCAAAATTTCTACTCTGTCTACACAAACACGAGGAAGGAAATAGCTGGAGATACTGGAGTCTGAGAAGGCAGAAAATTGGCAACGAAGAGCTGAAAAGTCACTACAAAAGGTGATACAAATCCGGGAAGAACGAGCAGAACTACGCCAAAAGGAGATCGAAGCTCTGCAAGGCAGTTTCGCAGAAGTCACAGCATACATCCAAAAACGAAGACAATCCCAACTGCTTGTGGAAAATGCTCTCCGCAATATGGATACAAACAAAGTAGGGTCAATAGCCAGCCGATACGGCATTCTCGGCTTCCGAACCACCAACCATTCCACACGCATCGTCCTCCAATCGCCAACAGGCGAAACAAGCACTGTTTGGACTACGGCGGAGCTAGAAAGAGTACTACGACAACACAACTCCTACTTCGAGAGAACAAGACAGACTGTTTCGAGTGACAAATGTATTGGTTGGTAGAAAAGGATTTCTTTCGAGATGAAGTGTACGAACACACCTTGCAAATCGAGATCGAATCCTCTGAAAGATCGTTCTTCGACAAAACCGGCAAAGACATTCGTTGGAAGAAAATACAGGTAGTGGCATCTCCTATGGGAAAGGAGTATCTTGACGAGCACAGGAAGATAGAGGAAATAGAGAACATGTCGGAATATGAAGAATATCGAGAACTACAAAAGGCTACGAAATCCATCGCCCAGGTATCGCCGCCAAAAACGCCTGCCATCCAGAAATGTGTAGACTTTCCAGAAGGGATCTATGCCATCCACAGGTTTGCAAAACAGATGTATCGTGGGACCGAGCGAATTATCTGACAGACAGAGTCTATAGCTTGATTAACGGTTACAGGCCGGGAGAGCCACATTTCCGAAACAGATAGCCTTACTTGATGTGGCTCTCTCGGCAATAGTTACGGTTGCATGAACATGAAATGTGGCTCTCCCGGCTATGCTGTCAAACTGGCTTAGTGATTCAAACACGTTACCGTATTTAACAAAACAAGACATGTTTTCTCATAATTATATTTAGATCACAACAGGTTTTGTTTCTATTATTAGCACAATATAATATACTAATAGGTATATTACATATAATAATAATATCATATATTGATAATATATATGAATCTGTAAAACAAACCGGATGTATTTGTAAACCCCTTTCATTATACTCAATCCTGGATCATATCAAAATCTGAATCAATCCTGAAAGACCAGTTTTTACAATCGTGGACCAGTGAAATGAATAATTCATCTAAAGGACAATATTATAAAAAAATTATAAACTCACCTTCACTCGACAAATACTTACTGCTATCTGAAAATAAATTGCCAATAGAAAGTAGGAGATGGACGAATCTCGCAAGAAAAGAAGAGTATGTAACCCTTGTTACTCGCAGTTAACTGGGGATGAATTCCATTATATCTGTAGATGTTCACATTTTAGCCAACAACGCAACCACTCACCTAGAATATAGCTCTTGTTCCTTCCCTAATCTCTCTACATATAAAAAATTGATGTCAAGTACTAAAATTTCAACAATCAAACACCTATCTAAATTTATCAAATTGTATATGTTCTAGTTTTCAGTAATCATTGCGTATATTCCCTGTTACCTTCTTGCATACTTTGTATATTCTGCATTCTATTTTATGCACTCATGTACCAGCGGAGGTGGTTCCATTTTGAGTAATAAACTCTGAGTGAAGAAGCTAAACACCGCGCTTGTGAGTAGGAAAGATTACCAGTTTCTTGTGAAAACAATATTATACAATGTGGTTTAGAATCATAAATAGGGACAATCTTTTACCGGTATTGCTTAACACCACGCTTGTGAGTAAGAAAGATTATTCGTTTCTTGTGAAAACAATATTATACATGGGAACACTCTTTTACCGGTTACGGTAATCCATGAATTAATTAATCTATTGGAAATGTGGCCTTCCCGGCAATAGTCATTTTTGAAATGTGGCTTTCCCGGCCTGTCACCTGCTTAACTCTTCATTGGCTCCAAATATTTAAAAGCAAATGGCCGAAAGAACTGATACAATAAATTACCATTTTGAAAAAGAATCTACCCCTACTGTCATGAAATATTGTGGAAAATGTGCAATATTTTGAAATGGCTGAAATGAATAAAATAATCGGCTGATGGCAAGTAATCTTTTTGATCTCTGTTCGTGGCCATGAGGCAATTAAGGTATATGCAATAAATAAGAAGTTGTCGCCCATAATGTCGTACGCTTCGTTATTTACTCACCAACAATGCCGATCCAACGATATAGTTTACATAAATCATTTTATTATATCAAGTAATATATCTTTTTGTGCAAAAAGGGAAATTTACGACATTGTATATCACAAGTTGTCACATTTATATTCGGTGTTGTCAGTCAGTTCAATCATGTTGGTTAATATACAGCTCAGTGTGTGCAAATCTGTTGTAGAAGGTGAACTGTTTGTTTCTAAATGTACAGTGTTTTTTAGGGGAACCGTATCGATAAAATGAATGAGTGAGTGAGCGAGTTTAGGTTTGCGCCGCTTTTAGCAATATCACAGCAATATTATGGCAATATCACGGCGGGGGACACCAGAAATGGGCTTCACACATTGTACCCATATGGGTAATCGAACCAGGGTCTTTGGTGTGATGGGCGAACGCTTTAACCACTAGGCTACCCCAGGACCCCGCGATAAAATGAAGCAATAGTGACCACATATACTGTTACTGATGGTGTGGGTGGTGGTGATATAGTTTCAGGACGACTTGGACCAGAAGTAGGGCCTATTTGCGCTCTGCACTTTAAGTATAAGTGAGTGAGTGAATTTAGTTTTACGCAACTATATAGCGGCGGTCTGTAAATAAACGAGTCTGGACAACCCAGTGATCAACAGCATGAGCATCGATCTGGGATACGATGATATGTGTCAACCAAGTCAGCGAGAATAGCATCACGATCTTGTTAGTTGCCTCACGTTAAGGTGAGCACAATAGTTGGCTTGTTTTCCATGTATTTGTGAATCATTTTTGAGACGTTTGTAGGCACAGAAGCTGTCATGTTGAATGCCTCGTGAACGCCCTTCACTGATCCACAACTATCGTGCATGTTTTTGAAGAGCATGCATATGTTTAAGTTCTTTTGACCAGTCTGGTCCAAACTCGATTATTTACAGACCGCCACCATATAGCTGGAATATTGCTGAGTGCGGCGTAAAACTAAACTCACTAACTCTTTTGACCAATATGGTTTAGTGTCGGGATTGAATCAAGAGGCTGGTAGGGTAGCATCACTTGCATTGCTGATACTCTCAACGACATGATATTTCGCATTAACATGAGAAGGGCTGTCTGTACTGGTGGTTACTTCAAGGTTGAGAGGGGCGGTGGGTTAGCCTAGTGGTTAAAGCGTTGGCTCGTCACGCCGAAGGCCCGGGTTCGATTCCCTACATGGGCACAATGTGTTAAGCCCATTTCTGGTGTCCCCCGCCGTGATATTGCTGGAATATTGCTAAAAGTGGCATAAAACTAAACTGAGTCAGTCAGTCATGGTTGAGTTTTCTAGAGGCAGTGGTTTCATACTCTCTGAAGATATTATCGTCACAGTTTTTCCAAGAAACTAGAGGTGTTATGGGTGTGATGTCAGTTGAACTATGACGAAGATTCAGAAACACAGAGAGCGGCAGATGGTCGGACACACAGTTGAAGTCGTCGTCTGGCTGTATGGTGAAGTCTGTGATCTAACACTCATGTTCCTGGGATACTAAATTGTGATCAGGCATAGACTGAGCTGGGACAAATGTGTAGCGCAAATCGTTACTGTTAACGTTTTGGTCGAGATACTGACACCGTTATCAAGCATCACATAGAGCAGTGATACATACCACGCTTGTCATATTACCCAACTATTTCCAAATAATAAATATCGTATTTCCTAGTTTCATGGGCGTCAGATCATGTGATTCCATAGATATAGAATTTGTGTTCGTGCAATACGCAACTTAACACCCCTTTCGTAAATGGACCTCCCTATTGCTATACCTCTATATATGGAAAGTTCAACTGTGATGAATCAGTAAGGCGTTGGCTCCACATTAACGTACAGCGATGGAACGTCCTACGCTGACCATTTTAGCAGTTATGCTTGTGTTGGGCCTTGCAAGATGCGAAGACTACTCTCGTTTCCTTGTCGACATCGTTGAACCAACAGGAGTCGCTGATGTAAAGACCACCATGGCCACTGTTAAAAGCATCTTGCAAGAAACAGCCGGTGTTGATTTCATCTTCAAGGTTAGATCCAATTTCATACAGTTGCTCAAAATGTATTGTGTGGATTCATGAGTATTCAAATAATTAATTGGCTGACACATTATCAAATGAAGTATAACGTAAAAAAAATGATTAAGAGGTACACTGTGTAAATTGATGTGCATTTGTGTCTTTTTGCAGGTGTTTGGTGAACCAAGAGTATTAGCAAGTAAGTATGCACTAGACAGTCTACCTTATAATTGCTTCTGTTGATTTGTCGCGGGGTCCCATCCATAGTTGCAGCAGAGTTCCTTTAGGATATAAGAGGGTGATAATGACTGTTACCACATAGAGTGTTTTATAGATCCTGAAACACATTTCGAAGTCATTGATTCAATATTGTCACACAGGCAAACAATGGTAAATATTGAATGAATATATGTGTGACATAGTAGGTTCAGAAAACCTCGCATGAGCTAGACAATGCACCTAGTTTGCAATCAGCATTTAGTTTCTTTCAGTTGACACACTTAGTGTTCATGCTCTGTCATTTTTGTTTTTGTTTTTTTAATTTGTTTAATGCCGCAAATATTGTTCATAACAGGAAAAGAAATTTAAAATAGATTACATTTTTTGAATATGTCTGCAGGTAATTGGTGTAATAAAATGATCTTGTCTTGCTACACTAAGGTCGACCACTTACATGTAGGTTGACAGTCCTATGGCCAGGAAAGTACATATTTTGAATTGCCGAATATACAGGAAAGTTGGGATATCGGACAACCGCATACGATTCAATAGGTGCTTTTCCTGTCCGTACTGAAGGTCAGTATACGGCTGCATTGTCCAAAGTACAATATTTTATCAATACCTTTGAAAACTGTTTATATTGACGTTCATGGTTGTGTCAACACAACGATTTGTGGACACGTGCAAATTATTCTTTGTGAAATTACACAAATGCGTAGTAAATGAAGTAATTGGTTCCTGTTGGAGAGATACAAAAGAAAGTTCATGATCCCATAGTTTCTTTTTTTGCTATTGAAGGCTGACCCAAGACTAACCATATTATAGTTACATGACTAGAGATCTCTCTTACGCATGATCTCTCTATAACTACTTTCCAGTTCTGCATATAACCAGCCTGTGCAATATGCGTCCTGTCGAAGATAAGTTGTTGGCGGCTAATCTGGTCTTCACTGTGAAATCTCTTCTCCTGGGTGAAAAACTTGCAGCTGATCTGGGGGTGAACAGAACCCTTATTGCAAGTGCCCCGCCTCCAGCGAACCTAACTGGAGACCACATTTACTTATGGGATATAATTTACAGAATGGAAGGTAAAACCTATTTTGAGTTTCGCCATATAAGTTTGCGATGTTCCGATTCATAGAAAAAAACCTGTTCTAAAGGAATAATGATGTCATGATGTATGCGAAAACTACACTTCACTCTCTAAAGTAATTAAACAACCAATAATACTTGTGTCATCGTATGTACTTGTGCATATCAGATCTAACCAGTGAAGAATACAAAGAGGAAATACGAAACAATCTGGAGGAAGGCTTCAAGTACAGACTAGACAACCACCACAGTCTCATGTACAGAGTTCTCGGAGGGCTTCCTATTCAGGTATATTGTGGACTCGAAAAAATGTCTGTTTTTTGCTCGTCTGGATCGTTGCTTACGATCCTGGTCCAAGCTCAGTTATTTACGAACAGGAACATGATATAAACAGAAGATAATCAAATGCAACACTTTTTATTCTGCAGTTAATTATCTTCGATATATTGAAAACATCTTATGTGTCCAGTATTTAATTAGTGTCATTTTAATGAACGCATTAATAATGACATAATCATTTTTTGTCCACACTGACGCAAACATATTTAAACCATCTGATCGTGTCTATAAAATGAACGAAAACTCAACATGGTTGGGTTTTTTTGTCTGTAGCTGATGTGTTTTGTACCAATGGAACCAGAGGAAGCTGAACTGGTTGTCTGGCACTTCAACCGCCGGAAGCTGATTTACACAGGAAAGGTGGTGCTGGTTCAGAACCTAGACGTCTATCTTAACGGCTGTCAGTAATAATCAGTACTTTTATCTATAAAGAAGTCAATATCAGAAAGTTTTAGTTTGGCATTGAATAAAACTTATATCAACTGAATGGTTGAACGACTCCAGCTATCATTGTATGTGTTGCAGTTGTGAATAAAGAGAGATAGGTACCCCTTGAGTATAAATTTTGTCAACATCTTTGTCGCTTTCGTTGGTGTGCTTAATATTTATACATACGGATTCAAGTCAACAGGTGATCTACATTCCATCATGCATGAATGCCGCATGAGATGACAACCTGTAAATAAGCGAATCTTGACCACACAATCAAGTGACTGATAATGTGAGCGTTCCAAATACTTGCGGATCCCTTGAGGACATGGATGTGTCCGAAATACATCTATTCGTGTCGCTCACCAAAATTGTGTGCGGGGTAGATCCAAAATTAATCTTCCCAAAAGGTAGGTTATTCCAAAATATTGAACTGTGCCATTGAATAAAACTAATTACTAATTTCAATGACTTACAGTTTTGGTCAGGATTTTACACCCTCAGCATTCTGTGTGTTGGAAACATTTAAATCCGTTGTGGTGGGACTTCCCTTGAACGTTGCTATTATATTTTGATCTCTATATTTTCCGCGTGTGGCGTAAAACTAAACTCACTCACTCTATTACCAACTGAAGAAACCCTGTATTGTTATGGTGATTTAAATGGCCATAACCTACTCTGTGGTGATACTACTACAAACACTGAGGGATAAATTGCTGAACCTGAACGTTTTATTGATGTTCCTGTCTTCTACAATTCCTCACATATTAATAGCATGGTTCAACGATGACTGCAAACAAGTCAGGAAGGCGAGGAAAAAGGCTGACCATTATTTTCGTCGCCAACCATTGGTCCGCAATATAAAATTTAAGATGTCAAATGCTGAAACACTGCGAACATGTAAACAAAGTAGACGTCAGTCTTGACATAATTATGTAGTTCACGTACGCCGATGTCTGAGTTGTGGAATATGATTTGTCGCGGGGTCCCATCCATAGTTGCAGCAGAGTTCCTTTAGGATATAAGAGGGTGATAATGACTGTTACCACATAGAGTGTTTTATAGATCCTGAAACACATTTCGAAGTCATTGATTCAATATTGTCACACAGGCAAACAATGGTAAATATTGAATGAATATATGTGTGACATAGTAGGTTCAGAAAACCTCGCATGAGCTAGACAATGCACCTAGTTTGCAATCAGCATTTAGTTTCTTTCAGTTGACACACTTAGTGTTCATGCTCTGTCTTTTTTGTTTTTGTTTTTTAATTTGTTTAATGCCGCAAATATTGTTCATAACAGGAAAAGAAATTTAAAATAGATTACATTTTTTGAATATGTCTGCAGGTAATTGGTGTAATAAAATGATCTTGTCTTGCTACACTAAGGTCGACCACTTACATGTAGGTTGACAGTCCTATGGCCAGGAAAGTACATATTTTGAATTGCCGAATATACAGGAAAGTTGGGATATCGGACAACCGCATACGATTCAATAGGTGCTTTTCCTGTCCGTACTGAAGGTCAGTATACGGCTGCATTGTCCAAAGTACAATATTTTATCAATACCTTTGAAAACTGTTTATATTGACGTTCATGGTTGTGTCAACACAACGATTTGCAAATTATTCTTTGTGAAATTTCACAAATGCGTAGTAAATTAAGTAATTGGTTCCTGTTGGAGAGATACAAAAGAAAGTTCATGATGCCACAGTTTCTCTTTTTGCTATTGAAGGCTGACCCAAGACTTACCATATTATAGTTGCATGACTAGGGATATCTCTTACGCATGATCTCTCTATAACTACTTTCTAGTTCTGCATATACCCAGCCTGTGCGACATGCGTCCTGTCGAAGATAAGTTGTTGGCGGCTAATCTGGTCTTCACTGTGAAATCTCTTTTCCTGGGTGAAAAACTTGCAGCTGATCTGGGGGTGAACAAAACCCTTATTGCAAGTGCCCCGCCTCCAGCGAACCTAACTGGAGACCACATTTACTTATAGGATATAATTTACAGAATGGAAGGTAAAACCTATTTTGAGTTTCGCCATATAAGTTTGCGATGTTCCGATTTATAGACAAAATCGTGTTCTAAAGGAATAATGATGTCATGATGTATGCAAAAACAACACTTCACTCTCTAAAGTAATTATACAACCAATATTACTTGTGTCATCGGATGTACTTGTGCATATCAGATCTAACCAGTGAAGAATACAAAGAGGAAATACGAAACAATCTGGAGGAAGGCTTCAAGTACAGACTAGACAACCACCACAGTCTCATGTACAGAGTTCTCGGAGGGCTTCCTATTCAGGTATATTGTGGACTCGATAAATGTCTGTTTTTTGCTCGTCTGGATCGTTGCTTACGATCCTGGTCCAAGCTCAGTTATTTACGAACAGGAACATGATATAAACAGAAGATAATCAAATGCAACACTCATGGGTTTATTCTGCAGTTAATTATCTTCGATATATTGAAAACATCTTATGTGTCCAGTTTTTAATTAGTGTCATTTCAATGAACGCATTAATAATGACACAATGACTTTTGTCCATACTGACGCAAACATATTTAAACGATCTAATCGTGTCTATAAAATGAACGAAAACTCAACATGGTTGGGTTTTTTATGTCTGTAGCTGATGTGTTTTGTACCAATGGAACCAGAGGAAGCTGAACTGGTTGTCTGGCACTTCAACCGCCGGAAGCTGATTTACACAGGAAAGGTGGTGCTGGTTCAGAACCTAGACGTCTATCTTGAAGGCTGTCAGTAATAATCAGTACTTTTATCTATAAAGAAGTCAATATCAGAAAGTTTTAGTTTGGCCTTGAATAAAACCTATATCAATTGAATGGTTGAACGACTCCAGCTATCATTGTATGTGTTGCAGTTGTGAATAAAGACAGATAGGTACCCCTTGAGTATAAATTTTGTCAACATCTTTGTCGTTTTCATTGGTGTACTTAATATATATACATACGGATTCAAGTCAACAGGTGATCTACATTCCATCATGCATGAATGCCGCATGAGATGACAACCTGTAAATAAGCGAATCTTGACCACACAATCAAGTGACTGATAATGTGAGTGTTCCAAATACTTGCGGATCCCTTGAGGACATGGATGTGTCCGAAATACATCCATTCATGTCGCTCACCAAAATTGTGTGGGGTAGATCCAAAATTAATCTTCCCAAAAGGTAGGTTATTCCAAAATATTGAACTGTGCCATTGTATAAAACTAATTACTAATTTCAATGACTTACAGATTTGGTCAGGATTTTGTGTGTTGGAAACATTTAAATCCGTTGTGGTTGGACTTCCCTTGAACGTTGCTGTTATATTTTGATCTCTATATATTCCGAGTGTGGCGTAAAACTAAACTCACTCACTCTATTACCAACCAAAGAAACCCTGTATTGTTATGGTGATTTAAATGGCCATAACGTACTCTGTGGTGATACTACTACAAACACTGAGGGTAAATTGCTGGAATCCTTCATCACCAAGATGAACTTTTTACAAAGCTGAACGTTTTATTGATGTTCCTGTCTTCTACAATTCCTCACATATTAATAGCATGGTTCAACGATGACTGCAAACAAGTCAGGAAGGCGAGGAAAAAGGCTGACCATTATTTTCGTCGCCAACCTTTGGTCCGCAATTTAAAATTTGTCAAATGTCAAATGCTGAAACAGTGTGAACATTTAAACAAAGTAGACGTCAGTCTTGACATAATTATGTAGTTCACGTACGCCGATGTCTAAGTTGTGGAATATGATCCAGAAAATATACGTTAAGGGCTCCAACATCGAGCATTCACCATCTTAAAGATAGGGACCAATAATTAACATATAAAGCAGATATTGCAATCAAACTTGTTGAAACTTTGGCGAAACATTCATACTCTTCTAATTATGTAACCCCATTCCAAAAATATTAAAAACAGACAGAGATGGGAAATATCAATTTCATTTTAGACACAGGGGAACATTTCAATATTCACAATTCATGAGCTCCATACTGGTGTTGGACTAGCTCCCGTTTATATACATTATCAACCCTTGAAGCACTTACGGAAATCCTGTTTAGAGATCCTTTTAAACATTTTTGAAGACATTTGGACGTCGGGGAAATCCCCCCTCTTCATGTCGTGGTGCAAAACTGTCCCAGTACCTAAATCTGAACTTCACCAATACTGGTACTTCAAATAATCAACTCAATCCATCACCACGGCGTAAGGCTTTGCCTTAGGAGCCTTCAAAACCTCACCAATTCATCGTTTATATGTAGCGGCTGATGAGCCATTGCTAAAACAACGCAGTTTTAAATCATCTTTACAGTATATTTCTAAAATACGTTCTATTTAGTCCAACCCTGCATATGACTGTGTTTTCATTCCTTACAACTCTACAAGGCTGCCGTGAAGAGCCACTTCTATCGTGGTGGGTGCTGGGTAACGCTAAGAGCTCTTTAACCCCCCCGTGTGGACCCGGGGGCATATTTTGTTCACCAACCTGTTTGCCATGGGTTGCGCCCCTGTGTCATTGGAGGACGGGAGCCTGGTGGTTGAGGGCACTGGGAGCCTGCAACCGTGTTCCTTTTGCCCAACACACCACTTCGACCCTTACTTCACCTACACGGGTGGTAGAACTGGCCCGGTTCTATCAATCGGCTGGTCCCGCCATGCCCTGAGCATGGACATGTTCATGTTGACATTATTTTGCTTACATTGTATGTTGACACTGAATATTGTGCTTATTCTATTGTCAGTATAATAACTGCCTGGAGTCCTATGTCAGAAGGCGGTGGCTCATGGGCCAATCTGGTGATAATGACCCCTGAATTCTCTGTTTCTTGAAAAATGTGTCAAGGGCCGAACCAGCCTGGCACATGTTCTTTTGGATATCATAGCTATTCATGTCTTTATTTACTGGAGTATGACATCTCTATAGCCCGGGTGTTACAGCCTGGCTTGCGCTGTAACTTCTTTGAGTGAGTGAGTGCGTGCGTATGGTTTTACGCAATATTCCAGCGATATCACGGCAGGGGACACCAGAAATGGGCTTCACATATAGTAGTATACACATGGGGCTACGGGACCAGGTCTCCCCCAAGGGCTCAATTTAAAAAATTGAAGTCCCTAATCCCATAGCCCCATTTTGTATACTACTACTGAGGTGCATGCAAAATTTGATGAAAATCGGTCAAAATAGTTTCTGAAATATTGACTTTTAAGTGAGCATAGGGTCAGTCGGGAAAGGCAAAATGTCCAACTTTTTGTCGTAATTAAGTCTTAATTAATCTAATGAAGTCATCGAGAGTGTTCCCAATGCCGTTTTGCTATAGCGTTATAAGAATCTCATTTTCGCTAGGGCTACCCATTTTTTCAGCAACCATTTTTTTCCGACACGACACCAAGGTTGCTCGAACTTCCAATTAGGCATATGGAGTTGCTACAGTATACAGGATACACTCCGACAACAACAACTATGGGAAAACAAATCGCAGCAGCTTAACAAAAAAATGGGCATTCGGTGCAGCAAATCAATCACACACCACCTCCTACTGGAAAACACACACGACAACAACCTCGTGTCCGATATCTCGACGGTAGACTATCTCGCCGGAAATCTATGGGAAACCCACCTCAAACCACTCACCGGTCTTCCAGCCTTTGTCGACGACCTCTTCGTGTTTGGCTATCTATCTCGCAAAGACATCATGCATTACAAGGGAAGCGTCCAGTGTACAAGGGAAGAATACGGCCACGCGAAAAAAATCGTTGGACTACTCCACTTGATACTATGCACCACCTAGAAAGAGTATACCGAAGCAACCAAAATGTATGCAACACTTCTCCACACGGTGCAAAAGACGAGTGCAGGAGCTATTGCCAGCACGATCCAAAAGATCGAAAGCACACCATCCGAGCGAATTATCTGACAGACAGAGTCTATAGCTTGCGTATATTCCCTGTTACCTTCTTGCATACACCACGCTTGTGAGTAAGAAAGATTATTTGTTTCTTGTGAAAACATAAATATACATGGGGACACTCTTTTACCGGTTACGGTAATCCATTAATTAATTAATCTATTGGAAACGTGGCTTTACCGGCTACAGCCATGTCATTGAAATGTGGCCTTCCCGGCAATAGTTATTTTTGAAATGTGGCTTTCCCGGCCTGTCACCTGATTAACTCTTCATCGTCTCCAAATATTTAAAAGCAAATGGCCGAAAGAACTGATACAATAACTTACCATTGTGAAAAAGAATCTACCCCTACTGTCATGAAATATTGTGGAAAATGTACAATATTTTAAAATGGCTGAAATGAATAAAATAATTGAAAAAAAAATACAAACAAACAAAACCTCTTCATTGGCTGATGGCAAGTAATCTCCTTGATCTCTGTTCGTGGCCATGAGGCAATTAAGGTATATGTAATAAATAAGAAGTTGTCGCCCATAAAGTCGTATGCTTCATTATTTACTCACCAACAATGCCGATCCAACGATACAGTTTACATAAATCATTTTATTACATCAAATAATATATCTTTTTGTGGAAAAAAGAAATTTACGACATTGTATCTCACAAAGTGTGACATTAACATTCGCTTTTGTCAGTCAGTTCAATCATGTTGGTTAATATACAGCTCAGTATGTGCAAATCTATTGTAGAAGGTGAACTGTTTGTTTCTAAATGTACAGTGTTTTTTTAGGGGAACTGTATCGATAAAATGAGTGCCTGAGTGAGCGAGTTTTGGTTTGCGCCGCTTTTAGCAATATTACAGCAATATTACAGCAATATCAAGGCGGGGGAAACCAGAAATGGGCTTCACACATTGTACCCATATGGGGAATCGAACCAGGGTCTTTGGTGTGATGGGCGAACGCTTTAACCACTAGGCTACCCCAGCACCCCTCGATAAAATGAAGCAATAGTGACCACATATGGTGTGGGCGGTGGTGATATAGTTTCAGGACAACTTGGACCAGCAGTAGGGCCTATTTGCGCTCTGCTCTTTAATTGAAGTTGAACCATCACAAGTATAAGTGAGTGACTGAATTTAGTTTTACGCAGCAATATAGCGGCGGTCTGTAAATAAACGAGTCTGGACAATCCAGTGATCAACAGCATGAGCATCGATCTATTGGAATACGATGATATGTGTCAACCAAGTCAGTGAGAATAGCATCACGATCTCGTTAGTTGCCTCACGTTAAGGTGAGCACAATAGTTGGCTTGTTTTCCATGTATTTGTGAATCATTGTTGAGACGTTTGTAGGCACAGAAGCTGTCATGTTGAATGCCTCGTGAACGAGCTGGGACAAATGTGTAGCAAATCGTTACTGTTAACGTTTAGGTCGAGATACTGACACCGTTATCAAGCATCACATAGAGCAGTGAAACATACCACGCTTGTCATATTACCCAACTATTTCCAAATAATAAATATCGTATTTCCTAGTTTCATGGGCGTCAGATCATGTGATTCCATAGATATAGGATTTGTGTTCGTGCAATACGCAACTTAACACCCCTTTCGTAAATGGACCTCCCTATTGCTATACCTCTATATATGGGAAGTTCAACTGTGATGAATCAGTAAGGCGTTTGCTCCACATAAACGTACAGCGATGGAACGTCCTACGCTTGCCATTTTAGCAGTTATGCTTGTGTTGGGCCTTGCAAGATGCGAAGACTACTCTCGTTTCCTTGTCGACATCGTTGAACCAACAGGAGTCGCTGATGTGAAGACCACCATGGCCACTGTTAAAAGCATCTTGCAAGAAACAGCCGGTGTTGATTTCATCTTCAAGGTTAGATCCAATTTCATACAGTTGCTCAAAATGTATTGTGTGGATTCATGAGTATTCAAATACATGTAATGAATTGGCTGATACATTATCAAATGAAGTATAACGG